ATATGTTTTTAACAAACCTTCCAGGTGATTATGATAAATGTTAGTTACAGGATCATGGGCATAGGGAAACAAAGACCCAGGTTCTCACAGTTGCTCAAGTTGAAGCCAAGATTATATCCAGGAGCTTAACTCAAAAATCTGTGCTCTCAATCACTGACATTTCCTCACTGAAGTGAAAGTCACTCAGTCGTGTGACCCCATGGACTATACAGTCCATGAAATTCTCCAGGCCAGAATACTGGAGTGGGTAGCCTTTCCCTTCTCCAGGGGATTATCCCAACCCAGGGATCGAATCCAGGTCTCCCGCATTGCAGGAGGATTCTTTACCAGCTGAGCCACCAGGGAAGCCCAGGGATACTGGAGTGGGTAGCCCTTCCTTTCTCCAGCAGATCTTCCCGACTCAGGAATCAAACCAGGGTCTCCTGCATTGCAGGTGGATTCTTCACCAACCGATCTATCAGGGAAGCCTCAGTGAAACAAGAAGCAAATAAACAAAAATCCTTACATCCTCATGCATTAAATGGGCAAGCGAGCTATCAGGGAAGCCTCAGTGAAACAAGAAGCAAATAAACAAAAATCCTTACATCCTCGTGCATTAAATGGGCAACACTCAGGGATGATTCACAAGATGAAAAACACAGTTTAGTAAGTACATGGTAGAGTGGGGAAGAAGTACACCCAATTCGAAGATTTATTATGCAAAATATTTCAAAACACAAGGTATGACAAGGGCGCATGATCGTTAGAAGATATTTTACATAAAAACGCTCATGCTGGGACTTCCCCGGTGGTCCAGTGGTTGGGACCTTGCCTTCTGATGCAGGGAGCATAGGTTTGATCCCTGGTCAGGGAGCTAAGATCCCCAGATGCCTCAAGGCCACAAAAACCAAAACATTAAAAAAAAAAAAAAAAGGAAGCAGAGGCAATATTGTAACAAACTCAATAAAGACTTAAAAATAGTCCACATCAAAAAAACTTTTAAAAAATTAAAATGCTAAATGAGAAGAGCACAATAATCAAAAAGCATCACCACACCTGAAATGTGCCAATTAAAGCAAGACAATCAGAAGGGAAAAAATTACATAGGAAGTCATTGGCAGCTACCCCCGTCCAAGTCTCTTCTCCACCTAATAGAGAGCTCAGCTTGAGTACTGCAAAAAATCCTCCTAAGGAACTTCTCTGGCACTCCAGTGGTTAGGACTCAGTGCTTCCACTGCAGGGGGCATGGCTTCCAAGATCCCAGGGGCTGCTGCTTGGCCAAAAAAAATAACAAAAGCCTTTTGCCAGCCATTCAAACTTGCAATGTTCAGTGCTACAGACTCGACCAATAATTGCCACTGACTTAAAAGACAAGACAGAGAAACAGGGTGGAGAGTTGGTACTCACCTCCCTCCAGCTAGGACCCAGTTGCAGCCTGTGGGTATTTCACACAAACGAAATCTCCAATGAGAAAAGTCCCCTGCCAGCCCGTGCTCTGGGATTGGCCCCTAGGCCCCGGGGTGAGGGCTGGACTTCCTGCCCAGGCTGAAATGACCCTCCTACTAACAGTGGCTGGTGCTCAATCTTGAAAATTCGACTCACATTGCAATCACCCAGGTCCTGCCCTTGGTGATCCTAATTGAATTGGTCTGGGGTGGGCTTTAGGAAGCCAGGAGGCTTCCAAAGCTCCCCAGGTGATTCTTACATCCCCCAGAGCCCTTGACCTTCCCCCACTAACAGAAACTGATCAGAAGCCAGACAGGAAGTTCAGGCGTGACTTGACCTGGGTCCCTGCTACAGCAGGGGGAAGCGAGGACAAGAAAGAGTTTCCCTGGACAGCTTGCTTATTCCTGAGGAGGGGAGGGTGAGCTGGTTCCTTATATGGGGAGAGGGTAGGAGTGTCCAGGGTTTGGGCTGGAGCAGTGGTTTGCGTGGTTTACCCCCTTCTAAGGTGTTGAGTGTAGGGGGAACAACACAGGACTCTGCTTTTGCTCCAGGCTCTTCAAAACTGGCAGTTGGGCTTTTGGGTCTCTGTATCTTTTGTCCAGAATTTGCCCCAGCTGCACATGTACCCGGTTATTTTTAGCCCCATATAGTTTCTTTGTGGCTTCCCCCAGTGGCTTAGTAGTAAAGAATCCACCTGCCAATGGAGGAGCCACAGGAGACCCGGGTTCAATCCCTGGGTCGGGAAGATTCCCTGGAGAAGGAGATGGCAACCCACTCCAGTTTTCTTGCCAGAAATCCCATGGACGGAGGAGCCTGACACAGTCCGTGGGGCTGCAGAGTCAGACTTGACTTAGCGACTGAGCACACGCAAGTTTCTTTCTGGTTTTTTTGTTGTTGTTGATTTTTTCTCATGAGTCAGGTTTTTTTTTTTTACCAGCTTTTGAAAACATAGTTAACAAATAGACATTTTATATATTTAAGGTGTACAATGTGATATTTTGATATATGTTTACACTGTGAAATAATCACCACCATCAAGCTAACACATCCATCACCTCACACACACTGTGTGTGTGTGTGTGTGTGTGTGTGTGTGTAAGAAGTGTTTTCTATTTTGCCCTGATTTGCTGAAATTGGAAGATATTTGGCCAGAGACTTTCTGGATATTTTTACTCAAAACATAGGAGAAAAACCTTGATTACTGTTGTCAACTTTTCTTTCTATTTCCCCACAAAATAAACTACATAGTATTTTGTTTAGTCTTATCAATCAATAAGCCTAAGCAAATGGGAATTGAAATCCCATCTTGCTATGTATCAACCTACTGTTTATAAACAGTATCTGGCAATTTGATGCTTCTATGCATATATGTACAATACAAACCCTAGGAATGTATTTCTCTTTCCCTCTGTAAAAAGTTGTATCTCTCATCCTCTTTTCAACACTCACACTTATGATCCAGAAATACTGAAATACAAATCCAGCCAACGTATTGATGATTAACTTCACCAAAAAACAGTGGGTACAAATTAAACCAAAAATGGTGTTTATTGGAAGCCCATCTCATAAAGAATGGGGACACATTCATACACCCCTGGGAGAGATGACACTTGTGCAAATTAAACAAATGCCCAAGAAAACTAATAGCTACCAAAAGAGGTTATGTTAGCCATGGGCTCCAGTGCCATTCAGCATTTTAAAGGATGGTTTAACAGCCTGTATAATTAAAGGGAAGTATCAATGATTGGTTTTTAAATGAAAATTAATAATAGTGTTAATTTTATTAATAATAAAACTATTATTTTGTTAATAACAATAAAATTGTGGAACAAACTATTGCTTAGAACCATTGTAACAACATTGCACATATTACACCCTTTAAATCTTATAAAATTTATGAAGTAGGTACTATTATTATTTCAGTATTTTGAATGCTAAACAGTAATGTTCAGGGGAATTCCCTGGTGGTTCAGTGGTTAAAACTCTGGACTTCCAATGATGGAGGTGGCACTGGTTTGATCCCTAGTCAGGAACAAAGATCCCACATGCCACCCATTGCAGCCAAAAAAGTAACGCTCAGTTAGCTATAGGATTATAATTGGCCAATCCAGGATTCAAATCAAGACAATAAGGCTTGCCAGCCAGTGCCCTGAATTATTAGCTAAGGCCGATAGCTAACTAACTAACTAAATCACCAAGTATATAGTTGTTTACGCACACATTTGTTGCTGTTGTTGTTGAAGTTGCTCAGTCATGTCTGACTCTTTGCAACCCCAAGGGCGGCAGCACACCAGGCCTCCCTGTCCTTCACCATCTCCAGGAGCTTGCTCAAACTCATGTCCATTGAGTCAGTGATGCCATCCAACCATCTCGTCTTCTGTCATCCCCTTCTCTCCCCACCTTCAATCTCTCCTGGCATCAGGGTCTTTTCCAGTTACTCACACATGCACACACATATTTCAGAATTCAGAAAAACAGCTGGAAAAGATACAATCTCATATGTATCCCTGGAATCATACGTGTTGTGAGCCAGTCTTTACATGATTATATTTAATCATCCCGTAACCCTACATGTGCTCTCAAGAAATACGAGTGAAGAAACAGACTGAAATGTCAGCCAACATCCCCGAAGTCCATATAACTCGTGGGTGGCAGGGGAGAGGGGTGCAATCAAACAGCCTTCTGTTGGAATGAGTGAGTTTGGGGAGGATAGACCAAGCCCGCAAAGGAGGTCAGATATTCAAAAGAGGAACTTCGTGGCCAGAACATAGCACTGGTTAAGTTGATAAGAAGCCACAATTCAAAAACACTTCAACAGCATGTCCAGTGCCATTACAGCTGACTTAAGCCAGGCCATGGGTCTCTGTAGACAGGCAGGTGATGGTCACAAACAAGGCAGGACTGTAACCCTGAGAAGAAGTAAAACCCACCATCTGAACCACCTGCTTCTAACTCACAGGCTTGGAGAATGAACTTATGGTGGCCAGGGGGAAGGATTGGGGGAGGGATAGTTAGGGAGTTTGGGATCAACATATACATACTGCTGTATTTAAAATGGAGAACCAACCAGGACCTTGTGTAGAGCACGGGGAACTCTGCTCCCTGTTATGTGGTAGCCTGGATGGGAGGGGGTTTGGGGGAGAATGGGTACATGTAAAGGTAGGGCTGAGTCCCTTCACTGTCCACCTGAAACCATCACAACATTGTTCACCGGCTATAACCCTCCATACAAAAGAAAAAGTTGAAAAATTAATAAATAATAGATCGCCTGCTTCTAATTTGGGTTTCCAAATGCTGACATTTGTGACCACGTAGATGAACCTGGAGGGCATTCTGCTAGGTGAAATTAAGCCAGACAGAGAAAGTCACATGGTGAAAGGTATTGCCTATATGTGGAATCTAAAAACACTGAACTTGTGGAGACAAGAGAGTAGAACAGTGGTTGCCAGGGGCTGGGGAGGTGGGGAAAAGGGAGACACCAGTCAAAGTGCACAAACATCAGTGATTCTGATACCTGACCGGTTGTCAAACTAAGAGCTTGACTCAACTAGGAAAGGACTGAGCCTCACCGCACGATGGATAAAAGCCTTCGTACCCTCTACCGGGAGATGACTGGCATGCTTCCAGTTGTATGAGGAACATTGCATTATCGTGTCAACTGAAACCCTGGTTTTTCCACGTCTATATCCGAAAGGGAAGTGCAGCTGTGTGCTTTTGTGCTTAGTCATTCAGTTGTGTCCAGCTCCTTTGCGCCCCACATGGACTGTAGCCCGCCAGGCTCCTCTGTCCTTGGGATGTTTCCTGCGAGAGTAATGGAGTAGGTTGCCATTTTCCTCCTCCAGGAGATCTTCCCGGCCCAGGGATCGAACCTGCGTCTCCGTGCCTCCCGCCCTGCAGGCAGATTCTTTACATACTGAGCCATCAGGGAAGCCCAGAGTGTGGTTAAAGGATGTGCTTTGGAAGCCACGTTGACGAGAAGCAGCGACTGTGGCTTCCCCCTCTGTCGGTTTAGCTAAATTTGTACTACGTTTCCTAGAATTTTCTTCCCCCTCCAGCGCTGGGTTAGGGATGACTGCAACAGGAACTGACGCAAGGCACCGAAGGTGGAAGTGAAGCTGCAGGCCTGCTGACACCCAGATGCTGAACGTGATCATGCTCAGGGGGCCTGTGTTCAGCCCACACACCTTACATGGGACTTGCCGGCCCAGTGCGGGCTCACAGCCAAGCCCAGCACCTCCAACTCCCCCAGCTCCTTCAACGAGGCCAGCGCCTGCACCTGCCTTTTCGAAGACCTTCGATGAAGAGCCCTAGGCTTCATTGAGATGGGAGCCAGAGATAGACAGGCTGACACTGGTCCTCTCGAGCACTCCCGTTCTGCCCCTGATCTGCCCCCGCCCCACCCCCCACCACACACACCCAGGTTCGCCTCTCGACACCCAGTCTGGCTGACTTTTCATGACATCAGGAGGGCCACAGATGCAGCCAGTGGCCGTCCACAAATTTCTTCCTCCATGGTCACAGTCCCGTCAAGTCCAATCCCTGTCATAAAACCTGTATCCCATGTCGCAGTAGTCCTTAACTCCTGAGGGAATTCCAGCTGGAAAAGGGTTAGATCTACAATGTGACTACATGTATCTGTTCATGCATGCTAGGTCCGGTCCGACTCTGTGTGACCCCACGGACTGTAGCCCACCAGGCTCCTCTGTCCACGGGATTCTGCAGGCAAGAATACTGGAGTGGATTGTCATTCCCACCTCCAGGGGATCTTCCTGACCCAGGGATTGAACCCAGGTCTCCTGAATTGCAGGCAGGCAGACTCCTTACTGTTTGAGCTACCTGGGAAGCCCAGGGTGTCTTAAGTTATCTTAGATTTTTGCAAAGATAGCATTATCACAATATGATAGGGACTACTTTAAATCAATGGAACGTGTATATCCAGGATAGGTGCCATAACTATTCAGTAAGTTTCAGCCAGAATGAAAGTTTAAGAACAAAGTCGTGACTTAACCTTGTGTGTGTGTGTGTTCAGTCGCTCAGTCCTGTCTGACTCTTTGCGAACCCGTGGACTATACAGCCAGCCAGGCTCCTCTGTCCATGGGCTTCTCCAGCCAAGAATACCCAAGTGAGTTGCCATTTCCTCCCCCAGGAGATCTTCCCGACCCAGGGATGGATCCTGCGTGTCCTGTGTCTCCTGCGTTGGCAGGCAGAATCTTTACCACCGAACCACCTGGTATGTACGTATCTCATTTAGGTTCAAAATTGACACCAGTGGATGATCAATGTTGACATAATGTTGGGAATATTGCAGAAGTGGGTGGGGATGGTGGAATAAATGTCACCAAGCTTGGATTCAACTGCTCGCCCTCTAAAACCAGTATTGGGATTTTCCCAGTGGTCCAGTGGTTAAGACTTCATCTTCCAACACAGAGGGTGCAACTTTGATCCCTGGTTAGGGAGCTGAGATTCCACATGCCTCATGGCCAAAACCAAACAACCACCAAAACATACAATCAATATTGTAACAAATTCAATAAAGACCATTTAAAATGGTCCACATCAATCAATATGTTTTAAAAAAAAAAAGATGTACTGGAGAGGCAAGTGTTGGTAGAAAGGGAAATTTGCTTTAATCAGAAGGCCAGCCATCTGGGAAGAAGACGGACCCATGTCCCAGAATCCACTCCGCAGATTCTGTGTGGCCGAGACAGCTTTTATAGGCAAAGAATCTCAGTAAGTCTTCGAGGCAGGTTAGTCCCTGCGTCCTTTTCTGTTGCACGCCTCTGACTGTCTGACTCTTCATTATCTTTCTTCCTTTTATAAGATTTTTTTTTTAATGTGGACCATTTTTAAAGTCTTTACTGAATTTGTTACAATATTGTTTCTGTTTTATGTTGTGGTTTTTTGGCCCTGAGGCAAGTGGGATTTTAGCTTCCCAACCAGGGATTAAACCCACACCCTTGCACTGGATGGTGAAGTTTTAAACCACTGGACTGCCAGGGAAGTCCCTATATTGTAGGTTGCATTTTTCAAACTTACTCCACTTGTGTCAAGGAATCCCTTTTATCAAACATGCCTTGTGTACTGTGATGTACCAGCAGGAATCCCAGAGGGAGAAGGACTGTTTTTTTTTTCTCCAGCCTTGATTAGCTTGTGTGGTCTAAGGTGGCTAGAGAACCAATAAACAGATAGCATGGGAGTGGGATGGCAAAAGCTCTACATTCTAGAGACTCTCTCTTGCAGGTTTTGATGATGCAAGCAGCCATATTAGAGATACCTGTGTAGCAAAACAATGAAAGCAACTTTCCCCAGCAGCCAGTGAGGAACATCAAGCCCACAGACCTTTAGAGACTGAATCCTGCCAATAGTCACATACAGGATCCCTCCCCAGTCGATGCTTCAGATGATGCTGCAGATCCTGGACCCCCAACTGCAACCTGAGAGAGATAGGAAGATCAAACCCGTCCATCCTAAATGAAATCAACCCTGAATATTCACTGGGAAGACTGATGCTGAAGCTGAAGCTCCAATACTTTGGCCACTTGATGTCAAGAGCTGACCCACTGGAAAAGACCCTGATGCTGGGAAAGATTGAGAGTAGGAGGAGAAGGGGATGACAGAGAATGAGATGGTTGGATGGCATCACCAACTCAGTGGACATGAGTTTGAGTGAACTCTGGGAGAAGCCTGGCGTGCTGCAGTTCATGGAGTTACAAAGAGTTGGACACGACTGAGCGACTGAACAAAAATGACAACAATAAGAGGCAAGAAGCAGAAGACAANAGGACCAAGCCTTGTCCTTGGGGAGGTCTCCAAGATGATGCCGAGAGACTTCCTCAAGGGGGAGGGGGGCAAGGAGGGGAGAGAGACCAGAGCCATGTCTGCTCCCAGGGGACAAAAAGGGACAGTGCATAGGTGACCCTTCCCTCCATCACTGAACTTCCTTCCTTCTCAGGAGTTTATTATGACAAGCCCTCCCTCTCCAGCGTGGCTGGCACAGCGGTGGCTCCAGGCGAGAATGTGAAGTTGCAGTGTTTCTCCAAAATCAACTATGATGTATTTATCCTCACCAAAGAAGATGGAGATCACATCACCCAGAACCAAAGCTCCACCCCTCAGCATGGAGGACACCAGACCATCTTCCTCTTGAATCCAGTCTCCACCACACAGGCGGGGACCTACAGATGCTACGGTGCCTTCCTCGACTACCCCTATGTGTGGTCTCAGCCCAGTGACCCACTGCAGCTTCAGGTCGAAGGTGAGGAAGAAGCCCAGTCCACCCACCTGACTCCCACCCTGGGCGCTGACTCTGTGCGGTTAAAGCACTGGCTGGGGAAGAGGACTGCGAGATGGGGCTGGGTGAACACCATCGGCTTAGACGCGCATCTCTAAGGGATGGGCCAGGGACGGGCCACGTGGGTCCCTGGGACTCTGGGAAGGGAGAGCCTGGCTGGGTGGAAATAAGGAAGACCTCTCCCACTTCACCTCTGTTTTCAGGAACCACTGACTCTCCCAGCAGCACACAACCCAGATGTGCAACTGGTGAGTGACTGAGCTTAGGTGGAAAACTGAAACGAGATACCGTGTTCCCTTCTCTCTGACCCAGAATGTTAACCACATGGATGCAGATGTATTTGTTATATATTATATGTATGTACGTGTGAGTTCGTCGCTCAGTCGTGTCCGACTCTGCAACCCCATGAACTGTAGCCCGCCAGGCTCCTCTGTCCATGGGATTCTCCAGGCAAGAGTACTGGGGTGGGTTGCCATTCCCTTCCCCAGAGGATCTTCCTGACCCAGGGATGGAACCCTGGTCTCCTGCATCACAGGCATTTCTTTACTGTTTGAGCTACAGGGAACTCCGTGTATATATATGTGTTTTATATATATATATAATATATATATACACATACATACATATATATATAGCTATTATTAAATATCATATATGCTTTGCAGAAAATATTTATATAGATTATATTAACACATGTGTTATATGTATTTTCATTTTTGTCAGAATAAACATGTGTCACATAATAACTAGTTGGGAAAAACAGAGTCACACAGTGTAAGAGAATAAAACTGACAGAAAGGGTTAGTGTTTCAGAAGAGAGCTCAAGGAGAAAGTCCCTCATGGGTCTATTTTCAACAGACACTGGGATGAAATCTGAGGGCTGATCCTTGTAGAGAGCGCAGGACAGGCAGAGGAACCAGCCCTGGGCCAAGACCCAGAAGTCAAGAGGCACGCAAGAGCTCACGGGTAACAGAGGTCAGGGTGTCTGCTGGGCAACGGTCGAATCACAGGGGAACACCAAGGGAGGAGAAGGCCGGGCTCAGGGCGGGGACTGGCAGCCTCCAGCGCCCCAGTCCTGTCTTTCTTGACCCCAGAAGCCCCCGCCGGTATCAGCACAGCGCCCGTAATGTAGGAGGAAAGAAAGGTGCTTAACTGCTTACCCCAAGGGGGTGGGCTGGGCGGGCTTCCCACCAGGTCCAGAGGTCTGCAGAAATGAGCTTGGGTTTTAGGCTCCTTTACGGGCATGGACGGCTTCCCTGGTGGCTCAGTGGTACAGAATCTGCCTGCCAAGCAGGAGACCCAGGTTCAATCCCCGGGTCAGGAAGATGCCCTGGAGAAGGGGGTGGCAACCCACTCCAGTACTGCTGCCTGGGAAATCCCATGAGGGGGAGCCCATGGAGGATCCTGGTGGGCCACAGCCCATGGGGTCACAAGGACACAGCTGACTGACTAGTCAACAACCACAGAGGGGCATCGCCCTTATGCCTCTTCTCCCACAGCGCCTGCCGCTTGGCGTCCTTCTGTGGAGACTCAAGTCCGCCTGAGCCTGGCTGCCCTGCTTCTCCTGGTCATGGTCGTCCTATTGGCTGAAGCCTGGTGCAGCGGGGCGGGGGTCCCTCAGTGAAGTCCGATGAGCCCCCGCCCAGGTGGACTGACGAGCGCCGATGACCCTCGGATGGCATCAAAGCACTGTGCCCCGCTGTGGGGCGGAGACGGCCCTGGGCCGCACATCCGGTACAGCCGCGCGCTTCCTGTAGAACCGGAAATGACGCCCCAGGGGCACCGCGGACGAGGGCAGCCCAGTGTTACTTCTCCTTCAGTTATAGAGAACAGAAGCCTAAACCTGTCCCCAAGCCTCCACCACTTGCTACTTTCCCGTTGCCGTTCTTGCCTTTTCCTGCTTCTAGACTCGGCCTGTGTTCCCCGTCGTGTAGCCCCCTCCTCCAGACCCGGGAGGGGAGCGCCTCTTCTCCTCCCTGACCGCTGCTTCCTTCCTCCCTTCTTGCCTCACACACCCCCACCCTCCTGCTTCCCTTTTAACGAGCACTTGTGGGGACTTGCCGGGGGTCCAGTGGTTAAGAATCTGCCCTGCAATGCCGGGGATATGTGTCAGATGCCCGGTCAGGGAACTAAGATGCCGCAAGCTACAGACCAGCTAAGCCTGTGAGCAGCAACCAAGTGAATAAATAAATAAAAATAAAATTATATTTAAAAAAAGAACACGTGACTTCGTTGGGTCCACCGTGACAACCTATGATCAGCCCCCACCCAAGAACTGTAATTTCACCACATCTCTAGTATCCCTTTTGACATGGAGGTTCTGGGTAGCTTTGCAAAACTGTAATTAGTGGGCTATTACTCACCCTGCCTCCTGGAGATCACTGAGTCTGATCTTTGAGCCAGAAATCCTTGCTTTTATGCCCTGTCTCACGGGAGAGACTTGGAAATAAGCACGGTTTTTTTTGTTTTGCTTTAATATTTAAGTCTTTATTGAATTTGTTACAATTTTGCTTCTGTTTTACGTTTTCGTTTTTGGGCCACAAGGCATGTTGGATCATAGGTCCCCAACCAGGGATTGAACCCACAGTCCCTGCATTGGGAGGCAGTCTTAACCACTGGACCACCAGGGAAGTACCTGGGAATAAATGTTTTAATACTCTTTACAATTTAGAACAGGACATGATTCAAACAGAGATGATGCTGAATAAACTTTGCTTATGTGTAATGTGTAAATTCCTTAGAGTGGTTGTTCTTGCAGGGTGAGAAATGGGTCTAGGACCAGAAATGCTGACTCTTTTTTCTTCAATATAGCCCATATGAAAGTGAAAGTCGCTCAGTCATGTCTGACTCTTTGCAGAATTTAAAAGTGATAGAAAGCAAGTATAAAAGCAGGAACATTTATATTGGTTGGTTGGTTTGGGGACTCTAGTTACACAGATGGTTGTGATGTTAGCCATTTTTCCTCTTTGGGTATGGGGGTTCAGGGTTTTGCTTTTTGTTTCTGAGAAAAAACAACTTTCAAAGCATGAGACTAAAACAACAGAATCACAGAAAGGCTAACTCACCCCGTTACAGTTGAGCCAATGAAATAGTCTGGGGACTTCCTAGCTCCAAGCTGTTTGCTGCTGCTGCTGCTGCTGCTAAGTCGTTTCAGTCGTGTCCAACTCTGTGCGACCCCATAGACAGCAGCCCACCAGGCTCCCTCATCCCTGGGATTCTCCAGGCAAGAACACTGGAGTGGGTTGCAATTTCCTTCTCCAATGCATGAAAGTGAAAAGTGAAAGTGAAGTTGCTCAGTTGTGTCCGACTCCTAGCGACCCCATGGACTGCAGCCTACCAGCCTCCTCCATCCATGGGATTTTCCAGGCAAGAGTACTGGAGTGGGTTGCCATTGCCTTCTCCGCCAAGCTGTTTAAGTAAATAATAAATACCCTTAGACTGAAACCTCCGTGGATACCGTACAGAAAAACAGAGAGACTAAGTGATCACGTGCTCTTCAGCCTCACCTCTGCCTCAAGACTCAACTCAGCTGTCTGCCACTGGCTGCTGTTCCCTCACCCAAGTCCCACCTTCTGCCTGTTCTTTACTTTTTCCTGTGTCAGTATAGGCGTAACTTTCCTTGGGTGTTTTCTCTGAATGCCTTCTCAGATTTGGCTATGTGTCTGTCATGTTCTAAATGACAACTGATTTCTGTAAAGTGGTAAATATATGGTGAGCCATTTGCTCTCTTTGCAGTCACTCAGTTTTGCTCTCATAGGGCTTCCCAGGGAGCACTAGGGCTAAAGAACCCACCTGCCCACGCAGAAGATGGATAAGACCCAGATTCAATCCCTAGGTCAAGATGACCCCTTGGAGAAAGAACTGCCAACCCACTCCAGTATTCTTACCTGGGAATTCCCATGGACAGAGAGGAGCCTGGTGGGCTACAGTTCACAGGACAGACAAAGGGTCAGACCTGATGAGCACACATACAGCGCAAAAGCAGTAGCGATGATGTATGACCATATGAGCAAGTCCATAATCCTATAAAACCTGGTTTGAAAAAGAAAAAGTGTGAATTTTAACTCATTTTCATGGGTTACAAAATGCTAATTTTCTTTGTGTTTTTTTTTTTCGTCATTTAAAATTCCTGAGGCCATGCAAAAACAGACAGTGGGTTTTAGAACTCAGTAATCCTCTCTCACAATCTTTCCTCCAAACAGTTGAGTCCAAGTAACTTGAGAGCAAAGACATGCTAAGCAAAGTGTCTGGAGATGGTTCTCCTAGAAAGTAGTGATGGGGGTGTTCTCAGGATTCCGTTTCGATGCCCTGGGATGGAGGGAAAGAGGTGGGGAGGAGGAAGAGAATGATACAAAGATAGATGGCATTAGATATTGACAGATAGATAGATAGGTAAGCAAAAAATGATATATATAAATAATAGATAGGTGCTTCCCTTTGGTCCAGTGGCTAAGACTCTGTGCTTCCAATGCAGGGAGCATGGGTTCAATCTGTGGCCGGGGGACTAAGATCCCACATCCACAGGGCATGGCCAAAATTAAATAAGTACATAAAATAGTCTATTTTCAGGCTGTCTTAAAAAATAAAAATAGGGAATTCCTTGGTGGTCCAGTAACTAAGACTCCTTGCTCCCAATTCAGGGAACCTGGGTTTGGTCTCTGGTCAGGGAACTAGATCCCACCTGCGGCAGCTAAGAGTTTGCCTCCTGCAACTAAAGATCCCGTGGGCCACAACTAAGACCTGGTACCATCAGATAAACATACAAATAACTGGATATTTAAAATAAAAATAAAATAATGGATGATTTCTTGATAGACAGTAGAGAACAAACAGATGGCAGATAAATAGCAGAGAGATTATTAATACATAAATGATATCTAGATGTAGATATAAATAAGTGATTGCTGTTGCTGTTATTTACTTGCTAAGTCATGAGTCCACAGACTGTAACCCACCAGGCTCCTCTGTCCATGGGATTCTCCAGGCAAGAACACTGGAGTGGGCTGCCATTTCCTCCTCCAGGGGATCTTTCCAACCCAGGGATAGAACCCACATCTCCTGCATTGCAGGTAGTATTTTACCACTGAGCCACCACGGAACTCCATAGGTATATGATAGAATTAGATAAATAAATTGCAGGTAGGTAGATGATAATAAATGATCGATAGATAATAAATGCATGATTGATACATGATAAATGATAAATAAGTAGACAATGAAATGACACATAATGATAAATAGGTATGGATATGTGTATTCTCCACAGTGTCAGAGGAAAGAAAACCCTGTCTAACCTCAATGGACACGAGTTGGAGCAAACTCTGGGAGAGAGTGATGGACAGGGAAGCCTGGCATGCTGCAGCCCATGGGGTCTCAAAGAGTCAGACACGACTGAGCGACTGAACAGCAACCTCTTGCTCTGAGTTGGAACCTTCAGTCGTCTCCTCAGTCCTGAGGGAAGCCCTCCTGAGCCACGGGCCTCTGACGTTTCAACCCCAACACCATGGTTCTCCCCTCCCAGCCGTGACCCAGTATGCCCACAGAGGAGAATTCTGATCAACGTCTTCGTGGTGTCAGCTATGTCTGTACGCCCCACTCCCAACCCAGGAGGAAGAGGGTGTGAACTGCATTCACTACAGCGCTGAGAACTGAAAGCAACTGCACAGCTTCCTGTCAGTGTGGGTCACTCGACGGAGCAGTCTGTCCTTCATCAGAGAGCGGGGCTGGGGCAGTGGGCAGCCTGAACGCGGGATCATGTCCGTGGTTCCTCCCTCGCTGCTCTGTCTTGGTCAGTCGGGGAGAGAGGGTTGGGTGCAAATAGACGGCTAAGGAGGGCAGGACTGGGGGTTCTTTAAGGCTGTGCTCTCCTCACCAGGTGTTTCTTTCTAGGGTTGTGTCTGAGCCAGAGCACTTGGGCACAGAAGGGTGAGTGTTCGTGTGATACTCCTGAGGACCCAGCAGGGTGTAAGCCTGATATCAGCTCTCTTGGCAGCTGGAAAGAGGGGACTCAGACTTAAGAGTGGGGGCTGTAAGAGGGGGAGAAATAGAAGGGTGGAGGGAGAAACACTTGTGTGATTATCACCTGTTCCCTGTGTTCTAGGAAATCTCCCCCCGCCTCGTATCACAGCTCTGCCTGGATCCACAGTTCCACCTAGGAGTCCTGTGACCCTCCTGTGTCAAGGACCTAAACAAGCTGAGGGGTACAGAATATCAAAAGTGGGGAGTCCTGAGCCCATGGGCAAAGAGGAACAGATCACAGCCCGGAAGACCAACACTTTGAGTTTCACAGAGATGACAACAGACAAGACAGGGCTATACCACTGCTCCTATCAGAGAGGAGGCCGCTGGTCCCAGTTCAGTGACCCCCTGCAGCTGGTGTCTGTACGCCCCACTCCCAACCCAGGAGGAAGAGGGTGTGAACTGCATTCACTACAGCGCTGAGAACTGAAAGCAACTGCACAGCTTCCTGTCAGTGTGGGTCACTCGACGGAGCAGTCTGTCCTTCATCAGAGAGCGGGGCTGGGGCAGTGGGCAGCCTGAACGCGGGATCATGTCCGTGGTTCCTCCCTCGCTGCTCTGTCTTGGTCAGTCGGGGAGAGAGGGTTGGGTGCAAATAGACGGCTAAGGAGGGCAGGACTGGTGGTTCTTTAAGGCTGGGGTGTTCTCACCGGGTGTTTCTTTCTAGGGTTGTGTCTGAGCCAGAGCACTTGGGCACAGAAGGGTGAGTGTTCTGTGTGATACTCCTGAGGACCCAGCAGGGTGTAAGCCTGATATCAGCTCTCTTGGCAGCTGGAAAGAGGGGACTCAGACTCTAGACTGGGGGCTGTAAGAGGGGGAGAAATAGAAGGGTGGAGGGAGAAACGCTTGTGTGTCTATCACCTGTTCCCTGTGTTCTAGGAAATCTCCCCCCGCCTTGTATCACAGCTCTGCCTGGATCCACAGTTCCACCTAGGAGTCCTGTGACCCTCCTGTGTCAAGGACCTAAACAAGCTGAGTGGTACAGAATATCAAAAGTGGGAAGTCCTGAGCCCATGGGCAAAGAGGAACAGATCACACCTGGGAAGACCAACACTTTGAGTATCACAGAGATGACAACAGACAAGACAGGGCTATACCACTGCTCCTATCAGAGAGGAGGCCGCTGGTCCCAGTTCAGTGACCCCCTGCAGCTGGTGATGACCGGTGAGTGGGACACCGAGGCACCAGAGCCGGGACTGACCCCTCTGCCGAGGGAAGGACCAGGCCTTGGGGACAGGAAGCAGGAGGACCAAGCCTTGTCCTTGGGGAGGTCTCCGAGATGATGCCGAAAGACTTCCTCAAGGGAGAGGGGGGCAAGGAGGGAAGAGAGACCAGAGCCATGTCTGCTCCCAGGGGACAAAAAGGGACAGTACATAGGTGACCCTTCCCTCCATCACTGAACTTCCTTCCTTCTCAGGAGCTTATGACAAGCCCTCCCTCTCCAGCGTGGCTGGCACAGTGGTGGCTCCAGGCGAGAATGTAAAGTTGCAGTGTTTCTCCAGAATCAACTATGATGTATTTATCCTCACCAAAGAAGATGGAGATCACATCACCCAGAACCAAAGCTCCACCCCCCAGCATGGAGGACACCAGACCATCTTCCTCTTGAATCCAGTCTCCACCACACAGGCGGGGACCTACAGATGCTACGGTGCCTTCCTCAACAACCCCTATTTGTGGTCTCAGCCCAGTGACCCACTGCAGCTTCAGGTTGAAGGTGAGGAAGAAGCCCAGTCCACCCACCTGACTCCCACCCTGGGCGCTGACTCTGTGCGGTTAAAGCACTGGCTGGGGAAGAGGACTGCGAGATGGGGCTGTGTGAGCGCCATCGGCTTAGACGCGCATCTCTAAGGATGGGCCAGGGACGGGCCACGTGGGTCCCTGGGACTCTGGGAAGGGAGAGCCTGGCTGGGCAGAAATAAGGAAGACCTCTCCCACTTCACCTCTGTTTTCAGGAACCACTGACTCTCCCAGCAACACACAACCCAGACGTGCAACTGGTGAGTGACTGAGCTTAGGTGGAAAACTGAGACGAGATTCTGTGTTCCCTTCTCTCTGACCTGGAGTGGAACGGGGTTTACTAGAGACAGGGCCAGCTTTTCAAGAAGACTTCTGATGTCTTGGGGCATGGAGAACACAGATATAGCAGGTAGGGCTGCTCTCCCTAAGGGAAAGGAGAGGATTAGAAGGTCTACACATTGCAGATAAAGCCAACAGGATCCATAGATACCAGTTATCAGTGATCCATAATTGACAATACTCTAGAATTCGTAGCCTCACCACTGAGCTCTGCTCCCAGAAGGGTTAGTCTGTCAATAACAGCTCAGAATAATCCAGACGACCAGGTAGCCTTGGTCTCTGGGGGCTTCGTCCCTAGGCTGCACTGAGGACACACCAATCATGAGAGCGGTCCCTCCAACAAATTCCCTGTCAACGTCTTTCCCCTCCTCTGAACCTCATGTCCTTCAGGGATGTAGACGCAAACTCCATACCGGATTAAGGGCTGTGGGGTTAAGGCCTTCTGTGGTTGCGACCACTGTCACTTCTTTCTCACGTCTTGAGAAGAATTTAGTATGAACTTGCTTCCTGTCCCAAGACATGTCTCAGAGTCTGTACTGTGTGCGCATGAGTGTGCGTGCATGTGTGTGTGCATGCTTGTGTGTGCGCACGCACGCATGTGTGTGTGTGTGCACGTGTGTGTGTGTATGCATGCGTGTGTGTGTGTGTTTGGGGGCCATTCACAGACCGATGCCTATAAGGAGCTTGCAAAGCTGGAGGGGTCCTCAGGAGGAGGGTTTTGCCCTTGGACTCCTCGCTCTTGAGTTGACCATGCCCTCCTAGAGGTTATGCAAGGGCAAGAGAAAGCGAGGAGAAAGAAAGGTCTGGGAGAAAAGGCGTCCCTGTTCTCAGGACTTTCTCAGAGAGTAGTAATAGTCTGCTTTGAAATGGGCATCCCCTATTTCAAAGTCAGACGGGGCACAAGGCGGAGGGCCCAAGGGCCGTGGGGAGAGAGAGAGGATGCGAGGGAATGGGGTTTCACTCACCCTTGTAACCGGTGGATGAAAAGCGGGCCGCTGTGTGGATGTCAGTCCAGCAAGGCAAGTGGAGAGTCCCGTCCTGGAGCTCGTCTCAGTTTCCCGGCAAAGAGAGGCACCCACCCAGCTGTGGTTGATCTTCCCTCCCGGGTTTCAACACCAGAATTGAGGCAAGTGCAGAGAAAGAGAGGGGGAGCCGGGCAGTCAGGCAAGAAACGGAAATTTATTAGAGGAAAAGAGGGGTGACTGGCTCCTAAGGAGAACCAGCATTCTCCATTTCTGATGGAGTCCTTCTTAGACCCCACCAATGAAAAATTCTCTGAAGGGATGGTCATATAGCCAGAGGTCTGGAATCTGTGGTCTCACAGCTTTGAGAACATAGGTGCCGGTGAGATAACAGGATGCCACTTGGGCAATTTGGTCAGTCTCACAGATCGCTGTGTGACTTTATTCTTTGTTTGCGAGGTCGACAAAATGAGCCACCTCATCAATGAGACCCCCATGTGGGCCCTATAACCTATGAGATGGATAGAACCTTGATTGGAAAACTGGGGGCAGGCGGGATGGGGGTGTGAAACGTGTGCTGTATCCAGCTCACAGCCTATTTGTTTTTTAAAATATATATATACTGTTTTCTGTATTGGAATCTGGCCAACACAGAAAGGATTCGTTTTGCTGTCTGTGGTTGCTTTGGTGTAATGAAGTGCGTACTTTTCCTATACANGGGATACTAGCTCCTCAATCAGGGGTGGGACCCACACCCCTGTGTTGGAAGGCAAAGTCTTCACCACTGGGCCTCCAGAGAAGTCCCTCCAAGTGCTTTCTTATCTGTGGCTTCACGGAGCAAGCAAACGAGGTGGTCAAAGATCATTCCTCTTTTCTAAGAAAACGGGTCAACAATTCTGAGCTTGGGGACTGTGGTGGGATCTGAGGAAATACTCAGAAACCGTGGTGTGTGTGAAGGTTCTTTACACAGGGTGCCTGCTCCAGCACTGTGTCCTCTTTTGCAGCCCCATCTGACAACCTAGCCTCCCAAGACAGTCGCCTGGGCATCTGGATCGGTGTCCCAGTGGCAGCGGGTCTCCTGTTCCTAGTCGCCCTCATCCTCTACTGTCTGAGCAAAGCCAAAAACAGTAGGTCCTTGAGAGCAGGAGGGGGCTAGCCTGTGCAGAGAACCCTGGGGCACATATCCCACTGGGGAAATGGGGAGGGGCTGAGGGGTCCAGAAGCAATGAGGGGTGGGCTGTTTTGCTGGTTCACGCTGTGATTGTGGTAACTGCCTTCCAGAAGACAGGGCTGGGGGAATCTGCTGCCACCCCCCTGAAGACATCACCCTCCCTTTGTTATGTTCACGAGATTGTTGTTGTTTTTGCCGTGTCATTTTTCATTATCAAAGATGAAAAGATGAAGAAATGCAATCGGGGAAGATGAGCTGTAAACACTCTCTTAAGCTGCTGGTGGGTTCACAAACATACTGACTATGGCATTATTTACAATATTACAAAACAATGTCATAAAACAATATATAACCCATATACCAAAACAGCGTCATAAAACAGGATATAAACCATACACAAAGGTACAGCTCACACAGCCATTTAAAATATTGTTCAGGAAACACCTCTAGTGACAAAGAGAAATGTTCAGGCTATAATGTTGTATGTTTAAAGTTACAGCTATAGAGAACAACTGGCAGTGACTAATGGGGGGGTAACGAAGGGGTAGGGGGTTAAGACGTACAAACTAGTAAGTATAAAATAATCTACAAGGATGGGACTTCTCTGGTGGTCCAGTGGCTAAGACTCCGCATTCCCACTGCAGGCAGCACAGGTTTGATCCCTGGTCAAGGAACTAGATCCCACATGCCACAATTAGGAAAAAAAAAAAAAGATCCCAAATGCCCCAACAACAAAATGGGGAATATGGCAATATTTTATAATAACTGTAAATGGAGCTTAACCTTTTAAAACTGTAAATCATTATACTGTATACCTGTAACTTATATTGTATATTCAACAGTACTTCAGTTTTTTAAGAAATGACCCTCTCTTTGTTCGAGCTGCTATAACAGAACGCCATAGACCAGGTGCTTCAACCATCCAGCATTCATTTCTGACAGTTCTGGAGGCTGGGAGGTCCGAGATGTAGGTGCTAGGATTCCGTTCCTGGTGAGGGTTCTCTTGCAGACGGTCACCTCTCCTGGCAGAAAGCGCGAGCTAGAGCTCTGGATGAACATGCGAATCCCACCCTCAGGGCCCCATCGAAACCTCAGTTCCTGCCAGGGGCACCATCTCCAAACACCACCACGTGCAGGGCCCCACTTCAGCAGATCAATTTGGGGGGGAGTGGGGACACAGATACACAGTCTATAACAACCTGCTCTTTCCCTCTAGATGCTGCGAGGAAAGAGAGACACCCAGAGGCAGCTGGCCAGGTGAATGGACAGGTAAGGGCTTCCTCCTAGACCGTCCCTTGGACCCCCATGTCACACCCCCGTCTCACATTCTCCCTTCCCTCCTCAGGCCTCTGAAGCTGCGGACCCGCAGGAGGTCACCTATTCCCAGGTGACCTGCCGCGTCCCCCACCAGGGGACCGCTGGGACACCCTCCTGGGTGCCCAGGCAGACCCAGAGCAGCGACTATGTGACGCTGGCCTTCAGATAAGCGAGGCACCAGAGCCAGCACTTCATCTGGGCGGCAGAACTCACAGCTACCTCTGGTAACTCCCTCCTCTAGAACTGAGGTTCCAAACCTGAGAATCAGCCTGGTTGAGGGAGCCCACATCCCTCGGAAGATCCTGCTACCCTCCCCCTGGAAATCGAGAGACCTCAGTAACATCATCCAGTCAGTCCCAGAATCTAATTGCCCAGGAGTTCCTGAGACCCTCTGAAGTCGTCAGAAGAGCGACAGGGTAATATTTTGTAAGTTTTCATTATTCATTAATTAAATGTTGATGTTGTTCAGTCTCTGTCGTGTCCGACCCTGCAACCCCATGGACTGCAGCATGCCAGACTCCCCTGTTCTTCACTGTCTCCCAGAGTTTGCTCAGATTCATGTCTATTGAGTCAGTGATGCCAGCCAACCGTCTCATCCTCTGACGTCCCCTTCTCCTCCTGCCCTCAATCTTTCCCAGCATCACAGTCTTCCATTGAGTTGACTCTTCCCATCAGGTGGCCGAACTATTGGAGCTTCAGCTTCAGCATCAGTCCTTCCAGTGAATATTCAGGGTTGATTTTCTTTTGCCATGACAAGGCTGTGATCCATGAGGGAATTAATTAAGTAAGTGTACTTAAATCCTCTTGGGCACCAGGTTTTATGCTACAGCCTTCTGAAAACAAAAGCTGAGAATGTTCATAACCTACTATAAGAAATATTAGAGGAAATTCTTTAAGCGAAGAAAAAAATATACCAGATGAAAATTTTAATCTATATAAAGGAATGAGAAAGGGCTGAACATTGGCATTTAAGGAATCTATCAGAAGTCTTGAGTGATTGATAGGAAGTTCTGATAGTTTTTTGACCTTTACTCTAAAAGTCTCCACTTTGAGGCTACTGGGTGCCAATTAACTGAAGATTCATGAAAATAACTTTGAAATCGGGTCTCCTGTTCAAATAAGTCCTCAGATATAAATACCCTCACTCTCATTGTTTCTGTATGATTGGTGCTTTTTATTTTGCAAATTGACTATTTGTAGGAGCACAGGAAAGATCCTAAAACCATCCTTCTTGTTGAAGAGTTTGTTGTCTAGGGCAGGGGTCAATCAATTAGAGCCCACAGGTCAAATCTGGCAAGTCACCTGTTTTGTACCATACATGTTACATTTTTACACTTTTCAATACTTTTTTGCTTTTTGTGGGCTTCCCTGGTGGTTCAAACGGTAAAGAATCCACCTGCAATGCCGGAGACCTGGATTTGATCCCCGAGTTGACAAGATTCCCCTGGAGAAAGGCATGGCAACCCACTCCAGTATCCAGTATGCTTGCTTGGAGAATCCCATGGACAGAGGAGCCTGACAGGCTACAGTCATGGGGTCACAAAGAGTTGGACATGACTGAGCAGCTAAAATATACATAACACAAAATTTACCTTTTTAACCATTTTTAGGGACCCACTGGATGTCAGTGGTTAAGATTCCACACTTCCACCACAGGGGGCATGAGTTCAGTCCCTGGTTGGGGAACTAAGATCCTGCATGCTGCAGGGCATGGCTAAATGAAAAAGAAAAAAAAAAGTTTTTAGGTATAAAGTTAAATGACATTAAATACATTCACATTGTTATACAACAGTCAACACCACTGCATTTTGTATGGTTGGAAAAAACCAAAAGAAGAATACTTTAATTGTTTTGGTGAGGTGTAACTGATTAAGAAAGAACTGCACATATTTCGTGGGTACCATGTGATGAGTTTGGATAAATGCAAATGACATGATACCATCACCACAATCAAGGCACTGAAGTAAAGTCGCTCAGTTGTGTCCAATTCTTTGCGACCGCATGGACTAGTCCATGGAATTCTCTAGGCCAGAAGACTGGAGTGGGTAGCCTTTCCCTCTCCAGGGAATCTTCCCAGCCCAGGGATCAAACCCAGGTCTCCCACATTGCAGGCAGATTCTTTACCAGCTGAGCCACAGGGGAAGCCAACTAGATGTAACCATATCCGTGAAGTCCAAAGGACCCCAAATAGGATGAAAAAAGTAATATTTTATGACATGTAAAAAATATTTGAAATTCAGACTTCACCCTCCACAAATAAAGGTTTATTGGAACACAACCATGCATGTTGATTTATGTATTACCTATAGCTATCCCCCCACTGTAATTCCTGTAGCATTAAGGAATTGCAGCACAGACCAGATGGCTCTCAAAACCTAACATATTTACTCTTTGGCCCTTGACAAAAACATCTGCCAGCTTCTGGTTTACTACAAATGTTCCAAAACTTCAGTTTCAATAAGAATTATTGGGATGGGAAGAGGGCATGGAGGAGGAGAATTAAACGTTGGTTTTATGGCTTCTTCAGCCAACCAAGGACAGTACTCAGGAAATGGTTATCACTTATAAAAAAAAAATCCCACTTATTTCTAATACAGACAATTAAGAGGCACCCACTTAAAGAGATGTGACGCTGGTACTGTGATTTTCAAGCTTGGTTACATACTCAAATCAACTAAAGAATTATTTTAAATCCTGGGAACCAGATTCCCCACTCTCCCACCCCCTGGAAAAATCTCTTGGAATGGGACCCCAGCAATAAAATTCCTTAAGTCCCCCAGGTTATTCCCATGTACAGCCAAGGCTCCAAACCCGTGATGTAATGTGGCAGTTAGGGGACTGTTGATACGTAAAGGAATGGCATGACTGTGTTCCAGTAAATGTTTATTTACAGAAACAGGAGAATGACCCTCAAGCTGTAGTTTTACCAACACTCACATTGGGCCAGGGATTGGCAAACTATGCTTCATGGGCCAAATCTGGCCCATCGCCTTGCCTTTTTTTTTTTAATAAAGCTTTATTAGAACATGTCTGTGCTTACTTACATATTGGCTGCTTTTTCACTTTGATAGCAAGGTTGAGTCTTTGAGACAGAGAACTATAGTGCACAAGGCCTGAAATATTTATTGTCTTGTCATTTACAGAGGATGTTTGAAAAACATCCTGGTCTAGTACAGTGAAGAAAGTTAGGTAGACAGAATACTCTGTAACAACGCATGCATTGAGTCAGGTTATCTGAAGTGATTTTTTAAAATGGGGTCAGGGAAATTAGGATGAACAGAAATCAGTCACAGGGATCATAGCAAAGGACCTGTGGGCATAAAATGCAGAGAGGATATAATCCCAGGATTCAGTCATCAACACGTGGTGGTGGTTCTTGTTTCGTCGCTAAGTCATGTTCAACTCTTCTGTGACCCCGTGGACTGTAGCCTACCTGGCTCCTCTGTCCATGGGATTTCCCAGGCAAGAATACTGGAGTGGGTTGCCATTTCCTCCTTCAGAGAATCTTCCCAACCCAGGGATGGAACCCGAGTCACCTGCATTGGCAGGCGGATTCTTTACCACTGAGCTGCCAAAGGAACCCTCATCATTATGTACACCTTGTATATTATATATACAACTTATATTCTTAAAGTGAAAATTTTAAAACCCACCATCCCTTTGATAAAAAGTTATTGTAACTTTTGATAAAAAGTTATTGCAACATTGCCCCACATGTTGGGAACCAGAAAACTTTGCTTGGGTTGAGCACCAAGTGGATAGAAATGTGAAAAGAGAAAGAATCAGCTGAAACCAGATTCAAACGAATCTTGAAAATTACGTTCAGTCTGCATTTTACAGAAAGGGGAATTGGGAATCAGGGTGGGGTTTGAATAGAGAAGTGACAAGGTCAGAACTGCATGTGAGAAAGAGCTCCCTGGAGGTTACCATGTCAGAGGTCAGACCTGATCCACACAGAAAGGAAGGAGGAGATTTCAGAGCTTCCCAGAAGGTAGCGAAGAGAAGCTGCACCACCTGACTGGTTCCTGTGGTTGAGTCAGAGGAAGAAGTTGGGGGAAGCATCAACTGATGCCGAATTTCTGGAGAGCAGTTTGCAACGTGTCTCAGAACGGAAGATGTGGATCACTTTTGACTCAACAAGTCCATTTTAGAAACTTGACTTCAAGAGGTCATTACACAACATGGAACTGTTTTCTCAGGAAATTCTCAGTTCAGTGTCCTTTAATTAAGCAATTACCCTCCAATTAAAAATAAATTTTTTAAAAGAAAACAGAAAAAAAAGGAAAACCATACATGTATATTAACCTGAAAAATTGGACTGCCAGTTATTTCAATGGCAAAAATGTGTTTATACAGAATTAGAGAATTACAGTTTAGGGTCTATGACCATCGGGACCCATGTTCCCAAAGGGCAGGAGAAGACCACTTTTATAGAGGGGACTAGGAAGGTGGAGGGCTGTAGAAAACAGTCCGTGGCTTTTCATTGGTTGAGTTGTTACCAGGAAGAGGGGTCTTCCTTCTTCCTGTCATGTGAGCTATCAGCGCAGGGTGTGGCAGCGCCCCCTTCTGGTCTCTCCCAACTCCAGTTGATTGAGGTTTCTGTTTATCAGTTTTTTACACGCATTCACAATTAGCAGCATATGTATGCACACATGAACATGTACACAAACACAAAAATTACATAAAGGTAGATCTTGGGAATAATAAAGATAGTTATGTACATGACCAAATGGAAAACTCTTCAGTTACTTAGGTCATGCATAGATTTATGTATTTACATAGTATTTAATATGTTATACACATTGTATATACAAACATAGAAAGAATTATTTATGTATATATTTGCATATGAGTGTTTATATATTTATATTGTGTATAGTATATTATACACGTAATATATTATGATAGTCTATTGTTTATAATGTATTTTTTAATGTGCTTGTGCATAATTTAAATGATTGAGTAGTTTTCCATTCATCATTCACATGATTCTACATATAACTCATGTTCACACATTTTATTTAGATATCTATAGATGTCTGAGGGCATTCCCAGGTGGTGCTAGTGGTAAAAGAATCTGCCTGTCAGTGCAGGAGACACAAAAGACACAGGTTTGATCCCTGGGTCTGGAAGATCCCCTGGAAGAGGAAATGGCAACCCACTCCAGTATACTTTCCTGGAGAATTCCATGGACAGGAGAGACTGGTGGGCTACAGTCCATGGGTCACAAAGAATCAGACATGACTAAAGTGACTGAGCACACACATCTGTGGATACAGATATGAACAGAAGCAGATGTGGACATGTTAGGGATATAGTTTTAAGTAGAAACAGCAGGATACGGAATCAGGAGGATGTAACCTTTCTATAAAAATAAATCTGCTTTAAAGTATTCATTGCCTCATTTTTTCATGTCTATAAAGTCTTACATAAAAAATATATTTTTGCAACATGGCTAGTTCACAGCATCTAAAAGAGCTAAAATATTTAGCCATTAAAAGGTCAATTATGTATTACATTATTAAATAATATGGCTTACCTGACCTGTGTGGAAGGGCCTCTGACTACAGTGTTTCAGGGTCTACATAAAGTACAGGTTCTCCTTTTCTGGATTTAAGGTAAAAGGAAGGCCCGCTTCCCAAAACTGATGCTCAGAGGATATCCAAACCTTCGAATCCCTTGACCCCTCCTTTCTTTTAAAGCCAGAGGTCCCGGACTTCCCCGGTGACCCAGTGGTTAGGAATCCACCTGCCAATATAGGGGACATGAGTTCAATCCCTGGTCCAGGAAGATCCCACACGCCACAGAGCGACTAAGCCCACGTGCCACAACTACTGAGCCCACGTTCTAGATCCCATGAGCCACAGCAAGAGAAGCCCACACCCTGCAACAAAGAGTAGGCCCTGCTCACCCCAACTAGAGACAGCCCAGGCACAGCAATGGAGATCCAGCACACCCAAAAATAATAAAAAACGTTTAAAGCCAGAGGCCCCTTTCCTGCCCTCTAGTCCAGACCTAACCCGTACGGTGGCCAATAGACACATGTGGCTATTGAAAGCAAGGACTGTGGCTAATGTNCACAGCAAGAGAAGCCCACACCCTGCAACAAAGAGTAGGCCCTGCTCACCCCAACTAGAGACAGCCCAGGCACAGCAATGGAGATCCAGCACACCCAAAAATAATAATAAAAGACGTTTAAAGCCAGAGGCCCCTTTCCTGCCCTCTAGTCCAGACCTAACCCGTACGGTGGCCAACAGACACATGTGGCTATTGAAAGCAAGGACGGCAGCTAATGTCAGCTTAAATGTCCTCTAAGTGTGAAATACCGGATTTTGAAGCCTCAGTACCAAATGTTGAAGGGAAAATATCTCAACTGTTTTTATGTTGACTACAAGTTGAAATAATACTTCGGATACATTGGAGTCAACATATTATAAAAATCAATTTTATTTAGTTCTTTTTACTTGTTTGATATGGCTATTAGAAAATTTTAAATTATAAGCATGGCCAATATTACATGTTTGCTATATTACTTTAGTATGTTAAGCTATTTTATTGTATTCAATTTATTGTATAGTATATTGTTTTCACCATAAGACCAGTTTTGAGCAGATAGGCGGAGGTGGGGAGAGAGAGGTGTAGATATAGATATATTGGTTCTAAAAGATGAAGACTTCAAAACCCAAACTTTTGAAGTCTTAATATAAATCTACAGAAATTAATATTGCAAATATTAATATTTTATGCAATAGTATAAAACTGATGAGCTAGGTTTCTGATGCACTTCTTGTGTTACTTACACTGAATGTGAAATGTGGATGGATTTTAATGTATCTGGTTTGATGGGAGGAGGCAACTGATCAAGAGCTGAAGGTTCTAAGCAGTGGTTCTCAAGCTTGACTGCAATTACAGTCATCTAGGGGGCCTTGTCTCCTGAGAAAACTCCATGCAGGTCAAGAAGCAACAGTCAGAACCCTGTATGAAACAGCTGGCTTGTTCAAGATCGGGAAAGGAGTACGACAGGGCTGTCTGCTGTCACCCTGTGGTTTAACCTACACGCTGAGCACATCTCGCGAAATGCCGGCTGGGTGAGTTACAAGCTGGAATCAAGATAGGCTGGAAAAATGTCAACAACCTCAGATATGTGGACGATACCACTCTAATGGCAGAAAGCAAAGAGGAACTAAAGAGCCTCTTGATAAGGGTGAAGGAAGGGAGTGAAAGAGCTGGCTTAAGACTAACTATTAAAAAAAAAAAAAAACTAAGATCATGGCATCTGACCCTGTTACTGCATGGCAAATAGAAGGGGAAAAGGTGGAAATAGTGACAGATTTCCTCTTCTTGGGCTCCAAAATCACCTCAACAACAGGGCACCTTTAAAGAACCTCAGTGTCTGGGCATCTCTGATCCAACCTAGAAATCAGAATCTCTGGGCATTAATACTTTGAAACAATGCCCCAGGGAGGTGAGTTTTAAGGCAGTCAGGTTTGAGAACCGCTGGTCTGGGAGAACTTGATGTTCAAATTGAGGAAATGGTCTCCACCTGTCAGTCATTGTGTGGCTGCAAGAAGTTCTTGGCAATGGGATTGGGTCCCAGTGGCCAATCACAGAGCTTGGGCAGAAAGAGGAAGTCTTGTAGGAGGTTTCCTGCGGCTTCAGCACTCAGAGGCAGGGAGTAGGTCATGGAGCAGGAGTTAGGCATAGGAGAGGTGAGTAACAATCCTGCTTCTTGACTTCATGCCTCTCTATCTTCTTTCAACTGCTAAGTCTCTACAATTAAAATTCCTCCGCCTTTTCTTTGAATGTTTGGATGTCAAACTGTTGAAGGACTTGAAGTTTCAAGTGAAGCTCCTGCTTGTGCAAAGATGGAGCACTCCTGGAGGGGAGCCCCTTCCCAGGGCTCCTTCCATAACTTTAAACAGGTTCTTTTCTCTTGCTGAAGCTCAGCCTCCTCAAGGAACATAATGTAGATTGGATTAACTTTCCACATGCCTCAGGAGCACAGCAGAGGTGCCAGTTCTTGGCCCAAACCTTAAACCTAACCCTTTCCTTAGTGGGAAGGCTGTATGGGAATCCCAAGCAGCTGGAGGTGGAAGGAACCCAGCTCAAAGGAGGGCCCGTAATGCGGGTGCTTAGGTTCTTGAAAATTCTTCTTTTCCCTCCTTCCATATCCAGTCAAACACTATTGATTTCTCTCAAAAGATATAACCTGAATTCAATTAGTTCTCTACAACTAGGTGTGAGTGCTAAGTTGATTCAGTCATGTCTGACTCTTTGCGACCCTATGGACTGTAGCCCACCAGGCTCCTCTGTCCGTGGATTCTCCAGGCAAGAATACTAGAGTGGGTTGCCATGTCCTCCTCCAGGGGATCTTCCCAACCCAAGGACGGAACCCACGTCTCCTGCATTGGCAGGTGGGTTCTTTACCATCTGAGCCACCTGGGAAGCCCCTCTGCAGTGACGTCTAAGAACAGAGAACCATCGTGGCCGAGTAATTAACTAAAGCATGGACCCTAGAGCTGTTTGTTATGCCTGGCTCAGAGCCCAGTTCTGACACTTTCTGGACATGTAAACATGGACGATCTAACATCTCTGCTAACCCAGTATCAATATCTGGAATAGGGACGATATAGTACCTGGGAATATCATAGGATTAACGAGCCAAGTCTACAGGGTTGATTGCAATGCCTGGTGCTATCCAGGTGTTCTCTGGCCCCACCCTCACCTGGATGAGTTCAGAATTCTCAGCAGGCAGCAACAAAGACTCTCCTTGACCCAACTCGAGTCAAGATTCTCTTTTTTTATTTTTCCAACTGTATTGATTTTCTGGTTAAGTCTTTTTTTTTTCATTAATTTTTATTAGTTGGAGGCTAATGACTTTACAATATTGTAGTGGTTTTTGCCACACATTGACACGAATCAGTCATGGATTCTCTGAGTTGCTTTTCACGAGACCTCATCCTTGGGCTCTCTCCCTGGCCCCCGTTTCAGTCTGGTTTGAGCAAGAGAGCCCGGCGGGCTACAGTCCATTGGGTTAGAGCTGTTTGTTATGCCTGGCTCAGAGCCCAGTTCTGACACTTTCTGGCCATGTAAACATGGACGATCTAACATCTCTGCTAACCCAGTATCAATATCTGGAATAGGGACGATATAGTACCTGGGAATATCATAGGATTAACGAGCCAAGTCTACAGGGTTGATTGCAATGCCTGGTGCTATCCAGGTGTTCTCTGGCCCCACCCTCACCTGGATGAGTTCAGAATTCTCAGCAGGCAGCAACAAAGACTCTCCTTGACCCAACTCGAGTCAAGATTCTCTTTTTTTATTTTTCCAACTGTATTGATTTTCTGGTTAAGTCTTTTTTTTTTCATTAATTTTTATTAGTTGGAGGCTAATGACTTTACAATATTGTAGTGGTTTTTGCCACACATTGACACGAATCAGTCATGGATTCTCTGAGTTGCTTTTCACGAGACCTCATCCTTGGGCTCTCTCCCTGGCCCCCGTTTCAGTCTGGTTTGAGCAAGAGAGCCCGGCGGGCTACAGTCCATTGGGTCGCAAAGAGTCAGACATGACTGAGCAACTAAGCACAGTACAGCACTGCCAGTCAGTTGCCAAAAATCCCCACCTCCAACATCTGATCAAATGCGTCACCCCTCAGAGGGACGTCTGATCGTCCCGACCTGCCCTCAGCAAGAATACTGTTGAATCCATCTGGCAAGAATACTCCTAGCTTTGATGTCTCCTCTTAGTAACTGGGTTCCCACAGAACCCCTTCCCACCCTGTAAATCCTGTTCCTTGGCTCTCAATTCCCATTTGTCTTTATTGTATTTGGAGTTAAGTTCTCTCTCTCTCCCCTACTTCAAAACCCCCGATTCAGTAATCTCTCTCATAGTCTTCCTTATCAGCTTCAAGCATCACGAAAAGTTTTAACCAGCTCCTTGGTGTGACTCCCCTTTCTCCCCAAGAAGTAAGAGAAAGTGCTCCTGAAAACACAGCAGTCTGTGAGGTCTCCCCACTGGAAATTTTGGAGCAGCTTGCTACTGCACTTGGAATCAAATTGTAAATCCTCATTAATCTGGAACCCCTTCATGACAGGATGTCTGATCCTAGAGTAGGAGTCACGGCCTTTGTCTGTCTGCTCCAGCCAATACACACCTAAATTCTTTGCCTCAAACCACCCGTATTCATTTCAGCCCTGAAATGATACTAGTCATTCACACTGCTTAGAATTTCTAACCCGCACCAGTTTCCCTAACCAGCAGCTCCTATTCTTCAGGTCCTCAATTGAAATGATATTTCTCTGAGAAAATTCCATGGTTACATGACACTTATTCTATTTCTCTGTGTCATCTTGTCTTCAAGTTTTGTCATTGCTTCTGTTTGAATTCATCTGTGAAATGTCTACTTCTCCCCACTACACTCCGTGTGTGTACTCAAATTCAATATAAATGCCAAGTAGGCAAAGTTCTTACCCATCTTTACAGCTGTCACTTAAGTTCTAAAATTGTTCCTGGGGGGAGGGGTTGGGGGAGAGATGTATTGGGAATTTGGGATTAGCAGATGTAAGCTATTATATACAGGATGGATAAACAACAGGGTCCTACTACATAGCACAGAGAACTATATCCTATGACAAACTATAATGGAAATTAATATAAAAATGTATATATGTATAACTGAATCACTTTGCTGTACAGCAGAAATTAATACAACATAAATCAACTGTATCTCAATAAAATTTTTTATTTAAAATAAAATAATTCCTGGCATCCAAAGGAACCTTTTACTGGCATAGATGAATGCCCCTAGCCATTTAATAAGGTGGGTGATGGTGTAGTTGATTGGCAATTAGAAATTCGAGCTCAGAACCCTTGGCTCAAACCCTCAACTGTTAAAAGGGCTTCAGATCCAGGTCTGTTGAGTTCATGAAGTGACTCTTTACGAACAGTAAATTGAAAAGGCATTCCACTCAACTGCAGAGTGAATATNGTGACTCTTTACGAACAGTAAATTGAAAAGGCATTCCACTCAACTGCAGAGTGAATATCTGTTAAGATAGTCTCAACTCAAGATCCTCATTTAGTAGTCAAGCTCCATAAACATCCTAAGATAACTACACATCAAGTTGCTACTAAAGGCTAAAGTCAATAATTCTCATTAACTTATTTGTGCATCAATTTACTGAAAAATACCAGATGAGCGGCTGCATACAGGAGATCCAGCAGTGTGGACTTCCTTCCCACCTTAGCTACTTCCTGTTCTCAGAGGGGTCCTAAGCGCTAAAGCCAAGAAAGAGTTCTATGTGGGTTTTACCTCTACTGGGGAGTTTGCTCTTAACGCAACAGGTTAGGCAATGAGAATAGACAGCCTATTTCCTGACACAGAAACAACCAGCATTGAGAGGGGAGCACCAATCCCCTGTGTCTTTCCCTTCCTCCCCTTAAAATGTGGTTAATGCCAAAAGTTGAGCTCTCGTTTGTCGGTCAAGGTGGCGCCTTCTGCCGAGCTGGGTTTCCACCTGCAGCCTCTACTAGAGGAGCTCGGCCAGGATGAGTTGAGCACATTCAAATCTCTTCTGAGGGACCATTCCCTGAAAGAGGAGTTTCAGCACCTCCTGCAGACGGAGGTGGAGGAGGCCGGCAGGAAGCAGCTGGCCGACCTCCTCACTGCCCGCTGCCCCAGCTACTGGGTAGAGATGGTGACCATCCAGGTCTTTTTTTATATATATAATTAGACGATAATTACTTGACCTACTGTGATGGTTTCTGCCATACATCAACATAAATCAGCCATACGTATACATATGCCCCCTTCCTCTTGAACCTCCCTCCCACCTCCCACTCCACCCCACCCCTCTAGGTCATCACAGCACCGCGTTGACCTCCCTGCATCACATAGCAAGTTCCCACTGGCTATCCACTTTTCATATGTAGTAGTGTATATATTTCCATGCTACTGTCTCAATTTGTCCCACCCTCTCCTTCCTCCATTATGCATCCAGGTCTCTGATGAGATGAACCGAATGGATCTGTCTGAGAGAGCAAAGGATGAACCCCGGGGTAAGCAGAAACAAGCCCACACTGCATCCTGGGAGGGAGGAGTAATAGTCTCTGTGGTTTTAGAAACACTGAAATAATATTTCTCCATGGAGAGGCTTAGCTGACCTGAACACAAGTGCTAGACCTTAGTCAAGTCTGGTGGTCTTCCAAGGTTCTTGTATTCTAGCTATTTTTATTCCAAGTGTTATATACCTACCCTGGCCACTTCACTATACAACTCTTCTCCTGTTCAAGACTGTTTCTGGAGTAGATTCATTTTTTCACTCTTTCGTATGTCCTCCAAGATCTTATCAACCCTCTGTTTAAAACATTCAAGCTGCTGCTGCTGCTAAGTCGCTTCAGTCATGTCCAACTCTGTGCATCCCCATAGACAGCAGCCCACCAGGTTCCTCTGTCCCCAGGATTCTCCAGGCAAGAATACTGGAGTGGGTTNAGGAGGAGAAGGGGACGACAGAGGATGAGATGGCTGGATGACATCACCAACTCAATGGACATGACTTTGAGTAAACTCCAGGAGTTGGTGATGGACAGGGAGGCCTGACATGCTGCAATTCAGAGACTGAGTGACTGAACTGAACTGATGTCCTCCACCAGCATTCAGAAGTTGTTTTGTGGAAGTTGCTCAGCATTCAAATGATCTTTTGATGAATTTGTTGGGGAGAAAATGCATTTTCTTTTGTTGCCAATTTAAATTTAGTTTTTAGCTTTTTTTAATTTTTATTTTATCTTTACTTTTTGGCCACACCACATAGCATGTAGGACCTTAGTTCCCCCACCAGGAATCAAACCCTCACCCCCTGCATTAGAAACATGAAATCTTAACCACTGAACCACCAGGGAAGTCCCAGCTTCAGTTTTTAGCCTACTATTGCCTCTTCAAAGGTCAGGCGATGGTTTTAGCCACTAAAACAATCTGGAGGGTGCAAATTTTAAAATCACTTGAAGAAACTCAGATGGCTATAGAAGTACAAAGTTCTGGGCTCTGAAAAGTGCTAATTTCTTCCTTTTTTTTTTTTTCAGAAACAGCTTTGAAGTCACTTCAGGAAAATAAGCCTCCATCGTTAGGTAAGTTGCCTCATTCACAATCTCACTTTTTCTAAAAGTGAGATTTTAGAATTCAGGATTGTTTTAATTAGAAAACACATCATGCTGAGCAGTAGGAATGCAAAGAAACAGACCTCACCTCTGCTGTCGTCCAGGTGGGCAAAAGACATCGAAAGCTACAATGAGGCAGTGTTTATGCCAGAAATCAGTAAATATACACAAACATGAGAGAGAGAAAGTGAGCTTCCTCTTGGAATTGGAATAGGCTGAATTTTAGACGGTCCTAAAGCCAGGGTTGGCAAACCATGGCTCCCAAAGCAAATCTAGCCCACTGTGTGCTTTTGTAGATCCTACAAGCTAAGAATGGTATTTGCATTTTTAAATGGCTGGGAAGATCAAAAGAATACTTAAGACTCCATGCTCTCAATGCAGGGGGCTAGGGTTCAATCCCTGGGCTGGGAACTAGATCCTACGTGTCAAAACTAAGACCCAATTGAAAGTCACTCAGTCATGTCCAACTCTTTGCAACCCCATGGACTATACAGTCCATGGAATTCTCCAGACCAGAACACTGGAGTGGGTAGCCTTTCCCTTCTCCAGGGGATCTTCCCAACCTAGGGATCAAACCCAGGTCTCCTGCATCTCCTGCATTGGCAGGAGGATTCTTTACCACCAGCATCACCTGGGAAGTCCAAATCTATATACTTGTTATAAATTGCAGTGTTACAACAAGTATCTGTCATTGACAGCTGTCTCACAGATGAGAAAAATAAGATTATACCTATGTGTGTTTTCAGATGAGTGCAAACTTTAGCAGTCAGTTGAAGAGTAATCAATTTTATCCTTCNTTTGAGGTCCTAGCTTCCTGACCAAGGAACTCAGGTCCTCAGCACTAAAGCTCAGAATCCCAGCCACTGGACCACCAGGGAACTCCCTCACCTCTTCATTATCCTTGTTGCACTTGAAGTATTTCTTCTCCTGTATGGCTTCTCCCTGTTCCTAGGTTGTATCCTAGGACTATGTAACTTTACATACCTTGTCAGAAACTAGGGAATTTGTCTTGAAGGCTTTCTGATGCCCCTTGGAAAGAGCCATTTTCTGTATGTGCCCATTTCTGAACTGCACAGGAATTCAATTGTCAGAAATGACACTGAGATCATGGCCTGACACTTTAATTTTCTCTCCAAAACCTCAATAACACCCTTTTCATGTAATCTGGGCTTAGACATTGAGACCCAATTGTTGAACTTGAAACTTCTTGAAATCCCACTTTCTTATAAACAGAAGCTTCAATACTGGCATAGTGGCAAGACCATAACACCCTCCCTTTTCTTCAGGGATAACAAAATGTGAAAACCCAGAACAAACACAACAGCCTTTAGAAGAAGAAGAAGACAAAGAGCCAGGTTGATCTCAGGACATCCAATGTTGGAGTAAACTAAATGAAGCAGGTCCTTCCTGGCTGTCCTCTCCCACTCTTCGGGGGAAACTCATCTCTCTCTAACTTTATTTCATCACTATTCATAGTCGCCTAGACAAAGTCATAGTCAACCTAGCCAGCATATTAAAAAGCAGAGACATCACTTTGCCAACAAAAGTCCATCTAGTCAAAGATATGGTTTTTGCAGTAGTCATGTATGGATGCGAGAGTTAAACTATAAAGAAAGCTGAGCACCAAAGAATGGATGCTTTTGAACTGTAGTGTGGAGAAGACTCTTGAGAGTCCCTTGGACTACAAGGAGATCAAACCAGTCCATCCTAAAGGAAATCAGTCCTGAGTATTCATTGGCAGGACTGATGCTGAAGCTGAAACCTCCATCCTTTGGCCACCTGATGTGAAGAACTGACTCATTTGAAAAGACCCTGATGCTGAAGGCAGATTGAAGGCAGGAGGAGAAGGGGACAACAGAGGATGAGATAGCTGGATGGCATCACCAACTCGATGGACATGAATAGGCTCCGGGAGTTGGTGATGGACAAGGAAGCCTGGCATGCTGCAGTCCATGGGTTCACAAAGAGTCGGACACGACTGAGTGACTGGACTGAACTGATTCATAGTACCCAGTTGTCTCATGGAGAATGCCTTCCTCCCTGTCTTATTCCTATTATGTAAGAATAAAGGGAGGAAATAAACATTTGGGAAAGCCAGAATTCAGTTCGTGGAAAATCAGGAGTATGTCGTATAGAGTTTTCTTAGATTTTGCCAATTGTTCAGACAACTTTGATAGTACAAACTCACAGATTAGAAAATTGAGACCTATTGTAGGTAGCTGATTTGCCTCAATTTATGTGGAGGTCAGTTTAACATTAGTCTCACTCTCAAGTCTGCTTCAACAGCTCTGTTGAAGTATAATTTATGTATCATAAATTTCATTCATTGTAAGTGTACCTGTTAATAACTTTTAGTCAATTTACTGAGTTGTACAAAAATCACCACTATTCAATTTTACAATCTTTCCGTCACCTCCAAAAAGATCTTTCTTGTCCATATGTACCTGTTCCCTGGTCTCTATCCCCCAAGTCCAGGCAGCCATTAACTTTTTGTCTCTCTAGATTCTCCTTTTCTGAAAATGTGTGGTCTTTTGTATCTGTTTTATTTTACTTACAATAACATTCTTGAGGTTTTGGGGGCTTCCCTGATAGCTCAGTTGGTAAAGAATCCACCTGCAATGCAGGAGACCCTCGTTCAATTCCTAGCTTAGAAAGATCTGCTGGAGAAGGGACAGGCTACCCTCTCCAGTATACTTGGGCTTCCCTTGTGGCTCAGCTGGTAAAGAATCTACCTGCAATGTGGGAGACCTGGGTTCAGTCCCTTGGTTGGGAAGATCCCCTGGACGAGGGCATGGCAACCCACTCCAGTTTTCTGACCTGGAGAATTCCATGGACTGTATAGTCCATGGGGCCACAAAGAGTTGGACACAACCGAGCAACTTTCCAAAAAAATGCTTTTGAAATGCTTTCATCCATGTTGTTACATGTGTCACTGATCCATTCCTTTCTGCCACTGAGTAATATTTTATTCAGTGTATATATAACATTTGGGTTGCTCATTCATCAGGGAAGGGAAGTTTGAATCATATCTATTTGTTTATTGTCTTAAATAACGCTGCCATGAGCACTCTTTATATAGAGGGTGCAAGTCTTTGTATAGACACATGCCCATTTATCTTGGGTAAATACTCACGAATTGCCTGTACTTTAATACTTGAGCTCCTATAATAACTTGAGACTATTATGGGGAAGATCCATTACCTGTTTGCCAGGCACATCTTCTAGTCCCCTGGAAAAGATAGACAAATAGTTTCAGTAAACCACATTAAGCTGTGATAGAGGCAGTATTTCTTGTTATGGTTCTGCAGAGTAGAGGCATGCAATTTGGTTTATGGATTCACTTGCTATCTTCATCACTATAAACCCAACTTTACACATCCCAGCACACACTGTGGACAAGAAACTTAGATTCTGGACTCCTTCCTTGGAGTCTACTTTAACACCCTATTTCTGGTTAAAAAAAAAAAGTACACTGGTTTTCTGTCAAGCTCACTTTAATTTGTATTTTGCAGAGCTGGCCCAAGTACAGGAAGAAGATGTCACAAACCTACGAGAAACAAAAGAAGATTTGGAAGGAGAAAAGCCAGGTCTGTCCTCTCTACCTGGAGTGAGTTTGGTGTCAGGTGGTTCTTTATAAACCTCATTTCTTCTTTCTCCCTTTCCTACTTAAAACAAAGCATCATCTCCCTAATGAATAACCAACTATATTCTGTCTACCCCCTGCCTCTTATCACTGAAGGTAAACAAGATAAATACAGAAATATATTGAAGAAGAAGTTCTGTCAACGCTGGAAGAACTTCTGGCCCAGACTCAGTGAAGATGTTTGTATTGTCACCCAAAGATATGAGACCCTGATCCCATTCTGTAATCCTAAAATGCTGGCCGGGCCATTTCCACACACTGTGGTGCTGCATGGTCCTGCTGGTGTTGGGAAAACCACACTGGCAAAGAAATTGATGCTGGACTGGACGCAGGATGACCTGGCAGAGACCTCCAACTTCGCCTTCTACCTCAGCTGCAAGGAGCTCAACCACAGGGGGCCGTGCACCTTTGCAGAGCTTATATCTACCAACTGGCCACATGTGCAGGACGACATACTGGCAATCCTCGCCGGGGCACAGAAAGTCCTGTTCATCCTCGACGGTTTTGATGAGCTGAAGGTCCCCTCGGGGGCGCTCATCCACGACATATGTGGTGACTGGAAGGAGCAGAAGCCGGTGCCCGTCCTCCTGGGAAGTTTACTGAAGAGAAAGATGCTACCCAAGGCCATCTTACTCATCACCACCCGACCGGGCGCCCTGGGGGA